CAGAAGGTGCAATGAGTATTGTGTGGCAAAGTAGGAAGTCAGGATGCCACTCCAGCACAGAAGAAGCAAGCCAAGTCCAGAGGAACAAGGCAGACAGAGAGGGTAGAAGAGGTCTGTGGTCAGCCCATAGCCACTTGTCGTGTGTTTCTTCAATAGGACAAGCAAACTGTTAGTGGAGGAAGCCAGTGCAAACCACATGCAGCACACAGGGTAGGGGTAGTGGCTTCACTAGTTTTGGTCAGATTACTTTCTTTTTCTTTTTTTCCTACCAGGAGGTTGGGGGTATTTTAAACACCTAACTTTAGTTTTGTGGAAAGCACAGATACCTGAGTCACACTCAGGTCAATGTATCTTATGTCACCACAAAGCACACATGCTAACTGAGGCAGCTCTCCTTGACATCACCAGCAGCAAGACATTTTGTGCTTGAGTGTAGGCATGCCCAGTTGCTGAGTTGGAGGTGACATCAGCCAACACCAGCTTGATCTGATCTCAGTATCTCAGAGAATTCAAAACCCTTTATAAGCGCCATGGTGGCTCATAGTCAGTATGAGACACCATCTGTGCAAATCTTATCAGAGATGCCTCTCTCCTTCTAGCCGTTAAGCCACACTTATCCAGATTCCTGGATGCAATTATTAACTTGCTTCTAGACTTGCTCTGAGGAGATCTCTGCAGCTTAGCTACTAAAGCTTTGCAGATGTTTATTTGATAACCAAATATTTTGTGTTTTATTCCTATTGACTCTGCCTAACCTGTCTGGGGAATTGCAACATGTCTATATCCAACTGCTGAAATCCTACATGCAAACTGTGTGTGTGCAAAGAAAGATGGAGCCAAACTGTGAGCTGGTAGCAAGGTGCCTTTTTTTATTTCTTGCAGAAATAACTTAAGGCAAGCATGCTGTAGGTGAATGGTGGAGAAGGACAGCTGTTCCCATGCATTTCAGAAATAAGCCACATCCTGATTTTTCATTTACATCATAGGACTCCCTGATCCAGCACACCACACTGCTCCCCACGAGGTATTTCTCTAATCTCACAGTAATACATTTAAAGGGACACATATTTTATTGTATTTCTTGTTAGAGAAGATGGTAGCATACTGCAATAGAGAAATATTTCCTGGGCAGGTTACCTTGCAGAGTAGTTCTCAGCAACTCTGTCCTAAAAAGATACATTTTCATTATAATGTGTGTTTCCAGAAGAATTCTGTAGCTGCTTATGGGTCACAATTATCAACTGGCAAACACTGCAGTGTGGGTGTGTTGTAGACTTTGCACAGGCTGCTGTATGAGAGGAGATCCAGAGAGGTACAGACTACATTAACGTAGTCCATGAATACATCTACTCTACATGAAGCTCTTCACGATACCATAAGGGGAATTTATCCCTGCCATGGGTTAATTGTCTTGTGCCTGCCAAATGTCTGCAAACTGCAGGAGCAGCTTAGGGAACCAATTTAGGTTACACAGAGTGTAAAGCTGAGTCACAGCATACTCCAAAATTCTGCCTAACTTTCGCAATTGCATTTCACTTAATAATTCCAGCCCAGCAGCCTTTTGTTTCAAGAGAGAAATCCAGCTGCCATGATGGGGACACTGAGATGAAATACCTTCTATTATAGAAGCTTACAACATTCCTTGCTGGAAATCATGTTCTGTTCCCAGATTTTATTTTGCTTGTTTGTTTTCAATTTCTGGTCCCACATATAGCCAGCTTTGGTGCCCTTTCCACAAAATAGAGCCCTTCAGTATCTGGTGCACATCCCCTCCAAGTTCTCAGTACTTTTTATCCCTTTCACCAGAAACAGAACTTGGAAATCAAATTTGATCATTAAAAATAACTAACTGAATAAATAAAAATCATTTCCCTTTTTAAAAAAAATTGTATTTCTTCTATTTCAGTCTGTTACCATTTCTACTTGTGTGTTCGTTTGAGAATGATTTCCTACTGTTTCCTATATAATTCAGCAACACATGGGATACTGGCTGAGGCAGTGGGACTTTTTTTACTCAGAGTGAGCAGCTTTTATAATCAAAGACCCTACAGCCAGAAAACATAATTCTTAATGTCTGTGCCAGTTACTTGTACTTCTCCTGTAACACACATAGCGAAGCAAGTCTGCTTGGTAGCAGACTTTGGGAGACTAACCTAGCATCATTAAGTTTTGACACCCAACTTCCAGCCTAATTGAAAAGGTGAAACAACACATTAGTGACCAGTGAGCTCACAGTGCCTCTGCTTTTGATAAGGTTTCTGTGTCTGAGGGGTAGGCAGTGGAAAAGCTTATTCTACCATTATTCCTGAGAGATCCAGACTTCCTCATCTCCATCAAACACTCCACTTAGCACACAGAGATGTAGTGTCACAATGCATTAACACAAGCATTGCAAGAGAAAAAAGCAGCAATCTCTCTGGAATAGGAGACATTCAGTATTTGAAAATTACAATTTAAAGAAAAAGTCTATGAAAGCAAAGGCCTGACTTGCCACCCACCTCATTTCCTCCTCCGAAGCAAACGTAACAGAGAAATGGTATTGTGATTGGACTTACCCTGTCTTTGTAATGCCAACAACTTCCACAGCTACATTCCAGGACACTCCAAGACATCCACTGCTTCTGAATCTCTGTAATTTTATATACTTAACTGGGAGCGCACAGACATGCAGCTATTCATGTCAGTTCAGCCAGGCAGTGTATAGACCAGCTAAGGATACCTTAACAATTTTGGTTACAAGAGGTAGGAAAGTAACAGGACCCCACTGCAGGGGGGAGAGTTGAGGATGGGATGGCAAACCAGGTTTAAGAAGAGCAGTAATATGTAGTAAAATGCTGTAAGCTGAGCTCACAGTGTGAAGACATTTTCCTGGAATACTTAAGGTTATGCTCATGTCTCTCCCAGTCAGACCTCTCTGAACGAGCTCTTTTAATGCACCACAACAGTAGTGATATCAGGGCACTGAGCAGCCAAGCTACCAGAGCCTGGAGAAGGCACTTCACTGTTGCAAAAGCTGAGGTAGACAGTTTAAAAGGAATTTTGGAGGCAACCATTACATAAGCACTCAGGATGCTAAAGCACAGGAACATGGAGAAGGAAGTTAGGGGAGCATGCTGGGCAAATGAAAGGACAGCAAATTTGCTCAAATCATAGAGTCTCTATCCATTAGACACTGTGTTGCTGTTTTCCCTGTTTTCCTTCTTACAGAGGGGTCTTACAAGGGAATTGGGGTGTGCTGAGGCACTGGAAAACAAATATTGAGAACCTAAATTAGTACCTTGCAGGAAAGCTTGTTTAAGCTGGTGAAGCAGAGAAACTGTGGCCAGAACTGCTTATTGCAGATGGTTAAACATGGCATTCAGTGTGTCAGCAAGGGCTATTGGAGCAGCCCTAAGGCATCTCATCCCCTCATACCCCATGACCATGTAATGTATTATTCAAAGAAAGAGTGTCCATAAAACTGATATGTCAGTGCAGCTCACCAAATTAAACAGAAATACTTCTCATTCACCAGGCACTGCCATATTCAGAAGCCACAAAATTCTGTTTAGTACCAGAAAAGCCAAAGGGAACATGAATTCAACAGGATTATAAATAGAGCAATAATACCGGCTTTAAAAGGTCTGGCTGCTGTATTTGAGAGATGCCTGTTCCAGGCTTACAGGGCTTGCTGAGCACAGTAAAAAGCTGGGGAATAGGAAAGCTGGCTCTTAGTGTTTGCTTGGATTGTCACAAGGCATTCAAATTAACTACTGTGGGAGGAGTCCTGGCCTCAGTGTGAAGAGCTCTGGTCAAGAGTTTAAGAGTCACATGCACAGACACCAGAAGCTGCAATGGAGTAAAAATGCTTCAGTCCAAAGTAATAACAATTCAGAGAGTAGATTCCCTCTCAGGGGTTGGTTTTCCACAGATCCAGGAATGCATACTCACACTGACAAGAGTGATTTGTCCTCAGGGAGCTGCAGCCCATGACACTCACCCTGTCTGATGCATCTCTCACTAATGCTCAGGCTGTCACCAGCCAGAGCACCAGCACGTGCACCTCTTGGGGGACCTGAGCTCCTGAGCAGTGTATCCCAGCAAACTGCTGGCGTTGACAGGGATGAGCCCTGATCCATCACTGCTGCATCCATGATAGCTGTGGCCAGGAAGCACAGCAAAAACACTTACATGAACTCTCTCTGTACCCAGTGCAAAGCTGAGGAGCCAATACACAGCAGCATTATGCAATTTAATCACATACTGAGGTTCTGGTAGTCATTAGCAAGTTTATGTGTCTGCATGGCATCTTCTGCTGAATATTCCCACAGAAAGAGAAGTTAAACATCTAACATCTTCAATTCAATATCACCATTGTACATACCTATCAAATATTCTAGCCTTCATACCATCACCTTATTTGGAAGAAAGGCAAGGGAAGTAACCCAAAGCCTGGAGAGACTGCCACATAAAACTGAAGGCAGTGTGAAGCAGGCTTTTTACTACTTCCTGAGTACACACCCAGAAAAGCTTGATAAATCTGCTGTGAATAATAAGTATACCTGTTGCTCATGCTGGATAAACACAGAATGTGTCCAAGTAATACCAGTGCTGGCACACTGCAGTCCACTGCAGGAAATAAGAATGAGCAAATAAAAAAAAGCTCTCTTAATACCTTCCAGCAAGTTGTCTGATAGTTTTGGAGTCTCTGACCGTTGTCAGGAGGGAAACCCAGATGTGGGGAACTTTTACTCTGAGCCCAAAAGACTGCTCAGTAGTTCCTGAGTGTTTGTAAATAGCTAGAGCATTAATAGTTATTCTCTTCAGAAGTTCATCAGTCACATATGCAGAAAAGACGTGTCTGTCACATCTATATTAGAGATTTGGAGAACTTTTGGGAAATGCTTTCAAATTACTGACACATTAAGAAGCATTTTTTGCTAAACAGACAAATTATCATTTGTCCCCCAAGGACAGCACAACCAGCCTGAGTGACAGTGACCTTCTTTCTTTTCTCCCAGTGTCTGAGCAGGGTGAAAGCCAGAGACGCTTGTACAGAGATCTACTGAGAAACTACAATCGTCTGGAGCGCCCAGTCATGAATGACTCCCAGCCCATTGTAGTTGAGCTTCAGCTTTCTTTGCTGCAGATAATTGATGTGGTAAGTCGCTGGCTCTCTACGGTACCCATTCAGCATAATATATCTGATTTCTCATGTAGGTACCAAACACTTCATCTTAATCAGTCTGTCAGAGGTGAGAGCAGGCTGGCTTTGACTGAGCATTCTTCCTAATTGCTGGAGTACGTGTTTTGACTTTTTTTGAAGAGTGAATATCCTCCTAGAAGCACAAGTTCTGATACAACATGAGCTGCAAGAAAATTATGTAGTTTTTCACTTTAAAGAGAAAAAAAGAATGTGGTAGTTTAGAAGCCATGTGTCATTACAAATTATTAATATGTTCTTCTCAGAGCCATGCAAGATGCAATCACTAAAGACCATGTGCAATGTTAAAAGCCAACATCACATCAGTTACACCTTTTCTTTAGACATTATAGTGGCATTGACCTCTTTTCCCTTTTTTTTTTTTGCGCTACAATTGAAAGATTCTGCCTTGAGATGAGGTTAGAAATGCATAAAAGCAAAAGCTGGAGGCATTGCCCTCTAATTGTCTTTGCTGATCTCTCTGCAACATACATTTCAAGTCTGGAGATTTGAGCAATGGAAAATTTCACCATAATATACGGAATTCAAATCCCTTTTTCATCCCGAAGAGGATTCTCTATCATGAAATACACTATATAGAATTTATTTTGCATGCATGGAAAACGAAACAGTCAAGAGGACAGTTTTAACTACTTTCAGCTTGTCAAAGCAACAAACAGCTGACAGATCAGTGCTCCTCCCTTCTTCTTTCTCCCCTCCCCTGCCCTCCTTCCCTCTCCCCTCCCCTCCCCTTCCTTCCATAGCCATATGGAATTGTTTCTAGTGCACTGTCACTGCTGGGAAGAGAACAAGGAGGAGAGAGAAAAACTTCTAAATATTGTGCATGTGCAGACCAATTTGTCACAGGTCTCAAACATACAGACTTTTTAAAATATCCACAACCTTTTTGAAGATGTGCAGCTCACTTTCTCTGGAGGGGCAAGCAGGCCCCTGGTGCTCTGGCCCTCCAGAATCATGCAGCACCAGTGCCAGGACCAGCCAGTTGTGGTCCTCCTGCAGCAGGCTGCAGCCACTCAGGCAGGATAAGCTGCATTCTCTTTTGTCACATTAGCAAATGCACCGAGCTGGAAGAGAGAGATCAGTACCCTTAGCTGAAGTCACTCATTCATGGCAAGAGCTCACAAACCTCTTCATGAACGAAAGAGCAGATAAATCCTCCAGCTACTTTCAAGTAAATTTCAGTGAGCAATTCCAGGTTTAGCAGAGGCATCTTAGCTCCAAAGATCTTGCTTCAAACATTCTTTTTCCAACAGTGTTTTCATGCGGTAATTTGAAGGTTAGGGGTAGCAGAGGGGACTTTTCAGCCTTCAGGCTGTGACTGTACATTTTCAAAGTCAGTCAGTCAGTTAGAGGGAAGAGTTACATAAAACTTTTTTTCAGCTGGGTTTCACATGCCCATGTGAAATGCATCCTTTCAGCAGGCTACATTTCTTTAAGTGCTCTATCTGTGTTATGTCAATGCCTGTTGCAACCAATTTAATTCCTCTATTGCATTTTGATTGTCTGCAGTAGGAAAGGGGTCATCTAGATGGTCATGTATACATAGAAACCAGCTTTGCTTCCCTGCACACAGTACAGATGCTGTAAATTCTTCAGCTCAGAGCATTATGCAACCTGCAATTTCAGTAATGCAGAGTAACCTGAAATTTACTACACAATGTGAAATTTACTACACAATGTGAAAAAAAGTGTCTGTCTCCTCCAGTCTTTTGTGCATGGACTAAAGTATCCTCATTCACACAATACAGTAGCAGAAGAATCCACATCAAGGACAATATGAGTTGAGCTTATCATGCTTATCATCACAAGAGTCGCATGGGGACATCTGCATGGGAACAGATGGGCACTGGACTACTCTCTGGTTGGGTGTAGACAGTATTTTAATTTGTTGATAAGGGAGAAATATCCTCCTTTCTTTACACGAAGCATTTAGGTGATCATTTCTCTTCTTGCTATCTTGAGAGCTGCATGTACTACTTCCAGCAGTGGAAACATTGTCCAGGATGTCAGTGATAATGTGGCTGCCACTCAAGTTTCTGCAATGGAAGGGTAAAAGGGCCAATGTGACGTCAACAAGTGGCTGAACCAATCAGCTTAAAAATCCACGGAACACCATTCCCATGGGGGCCAGCACCCAATATAGGAAGTGAAACGTGAACAATCTGTCAGGAAGCAAGTTCTCAGTGTGAACGCTGCTGCTCAGCCTCTGCTGCTGGCAGAACAGATTGCAGCATCTGGATGCTCCAGCTGCTGAAAAAATACTTGTTTAAGAGGTGGGTTGTGATGTAAAGAGCAGCAGACGAGGTACAAAAGATCAGTAACCTCTTTTAGCTGCATGCATCACAAGGCCAACCAAGGGGTGTCTCACTCAGACAAGAGGCCAAAGCCAGCTGCCAGACTCAAAACCTTGAAGAACATGTTCTCTGCTTTTCACAGAGGCAAATGCAAGTGAAGGACATCTGTCTCTTCACAAGGCCTGGGTTGCCATGTCCAGGGATCACTCTTACTTGGGGCTTCCACATTCCCTAAGTCATTTCCTGGCACCAGTAGTGGATTTGGCTGGTGAAACCTCCCACAGAGCACTGCTAGGCAAGTGCTCTCTGACAGCCTGACAGCCCAAGCAAGGGTAGAGCACATCCAAGAGTACCTGGAACAAGATTCGTCTTCTTACTTTGTCTAAACCTCCAGCCCATCAGAAAGGCCGGACAAATCAAGAGATGAGACATTTTTCACAGAGAAGAAATTGAATGCTTTTTCACTGGGGCTGTTAGGTAGAAAATATTTGTCATCATGAATAGCAGTTTTGATTGCTCCTGCTGGCACCTGCAGGGAACCTTATCTGAGGGGATCTACATCCTTTATGTCAGAGTATGGTGAGACATCTTAAAAAGTACCATCTTTTTTTTTCAGCTTTCTTTCTGCTTGTGATACTGCTTACTGTTATCTTCAGCTCAGTGCATCAATGCTACTGCAACAGTTTCCTCACTGCCCTTTGTTATCCAGAGCAAAAGCTTGTTTGATTTGCTTTTCTAGGACACATTTCCTCAAAGTGCAATTTTAAAAATACCATGAAAAAAGAGGAACCCACCAGTCAACTAACAGAAATGTGTAATGAATAAAACTGGAGCACGTATCACAGACTTTAAAAAAAAATTCCAAATAAAAAGCCTCATTTTAAGAAGAGTGCTTCAAAGTGGCTGCACAATGCTGCAGAGGTAATAAATGCCTCAAAAGCCTTTTCTAAAATCAAGCACACAATGCCCTTCAGAAGCAATACACAGTCAAGCACATTCCTTGGCCTCATGTGAGAAAGAGGGAGGGCACAGACACCACTCTCACATTGTTATCTTCTGCAGAGCCATCCAAAGGTCTGGTTGTGCATCTCCTCTCATGTCATGGGGTGCCCTACTGCCTTTCTGCATGTTCACTCTTTCGCTTGCCACTGATTCAGAAAACCTCCCAGCATTTGCCAGGTTGCCCAAGTTTTTAATGCCACATGGTTGTTAATGCTTTAATCACAACTTTCTCCTGTTTCTGAGAGACTGTCAGTAAGAAGAAGGGTGTGCAGTCACCAGTGGGAAGAAACAAAAATAATGAGAAAAAACCCCACCAGCCACTGAAAAGTCAGTTGGCACTCCAGTAGCCAAAGAATCCATTGCTTTATTTGCAGCTACTAATTCCAAGCAAACACTACATGAGGAAAATTTAATGCGTACTATTCTGATTTGACTGAACCGCTTGTAGAAAGAGAGCACATTCTACAGACTGCAGGATCATCCCAAACCTAATCACATGCGTGCAAACAATCCTACATAAGCTGCAGATTTTGATGCTGCTTGAAGCTCCTGATTGGACTAGAAAGCAGCAAGACAAGATCACAGAATAATTTGGTCAGGAAGTAAAAAGCAAATATTCGGATTGTCTCCTGAAAACCAAAACTATGCATATTGTACATTTCTTGGGGAGGGAAATTATGGGAAAAATCTGCACATACCTTCTCTGAGCACCCAGGTGCGATTATTACTACTATAAGCAGTAGTTTTAAACTAGCTTAGCAGCCCAATAGTTTTAATCTTCTCTACCAGAAAGACATCAAACTGCCGGATTCAAGCTTTAGTTCACTCTGTTTTGTTCATTTATTGTTGTTGTTGTTACTGTAATTTATTGTTGTGGTTGTTATTTTGTTGGTTTAGTTAGTTTGTTTTAAGATTGATATAACAATAGTTCTCCATTCCAAGCAGCTCTTCATGTCCTTCGAATTCAGCCCCCAAAGGGCAGGCTGGTGTAGAATGAGCTCTTTGCTGAAGCTTGCTCCCTTTGCGTGAAAATTGCCAAAGTGAAAGCAGGCAGCCTGTCTGTCTGTCACAGTTCTCCCAGTTCAAAATCTCAGTTCTGAATGTTTGAGAGGTTCATCTCCTTGTCTTTAGGTTCTTGTGTTCTGTAGGATGTAAGTAGAGGAGGGCCCTGTAAACGCAGGTGGCTTATGTAAGAAACTCTACTTTTAACATGAAAATGTGCTTATTCATTCCAGAAAACATTAATGCAGTGCAGGCACAGTTTTTCCTTTTTGTGAGGTTAGCAGAGGACAAGAAGCACCAAGTAGCTGTGGGTGCTGGTGTTACTGGTGTTAGTACTCCTGCCAGCAGAGCTGAGGAAGATGGCAGCCAGCTATGCTGGTTTTGCAGGGGAATTTAACAACAAGAGACTTGAAGAGTTATGTTTCTACCTCTAATTCTCCTCTCCATTCCTAAATTGTCTTTACAGCAACTAGATCATCCCTTCTCACTGCGCATTCTGGCGCAGTCATATGACCAAGTATCTGCACAGCAAACCCAGGTCAACTCACAAGTGATTCAATGAAATAAATATAAATACGCCAGTACGCATAAGCAGCCATTGACATATTATTCCCAATATAGCATCAGCATTCACTAGAT